GCGCGTTTTGAGGCTAGAAGCGATCGTTCCGAGCGTTTTTCTTCCACCAGGTCACGCGGCTGCATTTGTTTGAGCCTATTGCCAAGCTAGCAAGGGCGTGGGAGGGTTGTGAGCATCATTGGTCATTGGCGCTCACGAATGAAGAGCACCCGCTGCACTTCCTCCACATGTGCGGATCCTTGGGCGTTTTGAGGCTAGAAGCGCTCGTTCCGAGCGTTTTTCTTCTACCGGGTCACGTGGCTGTGCTTGTCTGGGCCTATTACGAAGCCAGCAAGGTCGTGGGAGGGTTGCGAGCATCATTGGTCATCGGCGCTCGCGAATGAAGAACGCCCGCTGCACTTCCTCCGCATGTGCGAATCCTTGCGCGTTTTGAGGCTAGAAGCGATCGTTCCGAGCGTTTTTATTCCATCAGGTCACGTGGCTGCGCTTGTCTGAGCCTATTATCAAGCCAGCAAGGGCGTGGGAGGGTTGCGAGCATCATTGGTCATCGACGCTCGCGAATGAAGAGCGCCCGCTGCACTTCCTCCACATGTGCAGATCCTTGGGCATTTTGAGGCTGGAAGCGCTCGATCCGAGCATTTTTCTTCTACCCGGTCACGTGGCTGCGCTTGTCTGGGCCTATTACCAAGCCAGCAAGGGCGTGGGAGGGTTGCGAGCATCATTGGTCATTGGCGCTCGCGAATGAAGAGCGCCCAATGCACTTCTTGCACATGTGCGGATCCTTGCGCGTTTTGAGGCTAGAAGCGATCGTTCTGAGCGTTTTTCTTCCACCGGGTCACGTGGCTGCGCTTGTCTGAGCCTATTGCCAAGCCAGCAAGGGCGTGGGAGGGTTGCGATCATCATTGGTCATCGGCGCTCGCGAATGAAGAGCGCCCGTTGCACTTCCTCCACATGTGCGGATCCTTGCGCGTTTTGAGGCTGGAAGCGCTCGTTCCGAGCGTTTTTCCTCTACCGGGTCACGTGGCTGCGCTTGTCTGGGCCCATTACCAAGCCAGCAAGGACGTGGGAGGATTGCGAGCATCATTGGTCATCGGCGCTCGCGAATGAAGAGCGCCCGCTGCACTTCCTCCACATGTGCGGATCCTTGCGCGTTTTGAGGCTGGAAGAGCTCGTTCCGAGCGTTTTTCTTCTACCCGGTCACGTGGCTGCGCTTGTCTGAGCCTATTATCAAGCCAGCAAGGGCGTGGGAGGGTTGCGAGCATCATTGGTCATCGACGCTCGCGAATGAAGAGCGCCCGCTGCACTTCCTCCACATGTGCAGATCCTTGGGCATTTTGAGGCTGGAAGCGCTCGATCCGAGCATTTTTCTTCTACCCGGTCACGTGGCTGCGCTTGTCTGGGCCTATTACCAAGCCAGCAAGGGCGAGGGAGGGTTGCGAGCATCATTGGTCATTGGCGCTCGCGAATGAAGAGCGCCCGCTGCACTTCTTGCACATGTGCGGATCCTTGCGCGTTTTGAGGCTAGAAGCAATCGTTCCGAGAGTTTTTCTTCCACCGGGTCACGTGGCTGCGCTTGTCTGGGCCTATCTCCAAGCCAGCAAGGGCGTGGTTGCGTTGCGAGCATCATTGGTCATCGGCGCTCGCGAATGAAGAGTGCCTGGTGCACTTCCTCCACATGTGCGGATCCTTGCGCTTTTTGAGGCTGGAAGCGCTCGTTCCGAGCGTTTTTCCTCTACCGGGTCACGTAGCTGCACTTGCCTGGGCCTATCACCAAGCCAGCAAGGGCGTGGGAGGGTTGCGAGCATCATTGGTCATTAGCGCTCGTGATGAAGAGCGCCTGCTGCACTTCCTCCACATGTGCGGATCCTTGCGCGTTTTGAGGCTGGAAGCGCTCGTTTCGAGCGTTTTTCTTCTCCCGAGTCACGTGGCTGCGCTTGTCTGGGCCTATTACCAAGCCAGCAAGGGCGTGGGAGGGTTTCGAGCATCATTGGTCATCGGCGCTCGCGAATGAAGATTGCCTGCTGCATGTCCTGCACATGTGCGGATCCTTGCGCGTTTTGAGGCTAGAATCGATCGTTTCGAGCGTTTTTCTTCCACCGGGTCACATAACAGCGCTTTTCTGAGCCTATTACCAAGCCAGCAAAAGCGTAGGAGGGTTGCGAGAATCATTGGTCATCGGCGCTTGCGAATGAAGAGCGCCCGCTGCACTTCCTCCACATGTGCGGATCCCTGGGCGTTTTGAGGATGGAAGAGCTCGTTCTGAGCGTTTTTCTTCTACCCGGTCACGTGGCTGCGCTTGACTGGGCCTATTACCAAGCCAGCAAGGGCGTGGGAGGGTTGCGAGCATCATTGGTCATTGGCGCTCGCGAATGAAGAGCGCCCGCTGCGCTTCCTGCACATGTGCAATTCCTTGCGCGTTTTGAGGCTAGAAGCGATCGTTCCGAGCGTTTTTCTTCCACCGGGTCACGCGGCTGCATTTGTTTGAGCCTATTGCCAAGCTAGCAAGGGCGTGGGAGGGTTGTGAGCATCATTGGTCATTGGCGCTCGCGAATGAAGAGCACCCGCTGCACTTCCTCCACATGTGCGGATCCTTGGGCGTTTTGAGGCTAGAAGCGCTCGTTCCGAGCGTTTTTCTTCTACCGGGTCACGTGGCTGTGCTTGTCTGGGCCTATTACGAAGCCAGCAAGGTCGTGGGAGGGTTGCGAGCATCATTGGTCATCGGCGCTCGCGAATGAAGAACGCCCGCTGCAATTCCTCCGCATGTGCGGATCCTTGCGCGTTTTGAGGCTAGAAGCGATCGTTCCGAGCGTTTTTATTCCATCGGGTAACGTGGCTGCGCTTGTCTGAGCCTATTATCAAGCCAGCAAGGGCGTGGGAGGGTTGCGAGCATCATTGGTCATCGACGCTCGCGAATGAAGAGCGCCCGCTGCACTTCCTCCACATGTGCGGATCCTTGGGCATTTTGAGGCTGGAAGCGCTCGATCTGAGCATTTTTCTTCTACCCGGTCACGTGGCTGCGCTTGTCTGGGCCTATTACCAAGCCAGCAAGGGCGTGGGAGGGTTGCGAGCATCATTGGTCATTGGCGCTCGCGAATGAAGAGCGCCCAATGCACTTCTTGCACATGTGCGGATCCTTGCGCGTTTTGAGGCTAGAAGCGATCATTCTGAGCGTTTTTCTTCCACCGGGTCACGTGGCTGCGCTTGTCTGAGCCTATTGCCAAGCCAGCAAGGGCGTGGGAGGGTTGCGATCATCATTGGTCATCGGCGCTCGCGAATGAAGAGCGCCCGCTGCACTTCCTCCACATGTGCGGATCCTTGCGCGTTTTGAGGCTGGAAGCGCTCGTTCCGAGCGTTTTTCCTCTACCGGGTCACGTGGCTGCGCTTGTCTGGGCCCATTACCAAGCCAGCAAGGACGTGGGAGGATTGCGAGCATCATTTGTCATCGGCGCTCGCGAATGAAGAGCGCCCGCTGCACTTCCTCCACATGTGCGGATCCTTGCGCGTTTTGAGGCTGGAAGAGCTCGTTCCGAGCGTTTTTCTTCTACCCGGTCACATGGCTGCGCTTGTCTGGGCCTGTTACCAAGCCAGCAAGGGCGTGGGAGGGTTGCGAGCATCATTGGTCATTGGCGCTCGCGAATGAAGAGCGCCCGCTGCACTTCTTGCACATGTGCGGATCCTTGCGCGTTTTGAGGCTAGAAGCAATCGTTTCGAGAGTTTTTCTTCCACCGGGTCACGTGGCTGCGCTTGTCTGGGCCTATTGCCAAGCCAGCAAGGGCGTGGTTGCGTTGCGAGCATCATTGGTCATCGGCGCTCGCGAATGAAGAGTGCCTGGTGCACTTCCTCCACATGTGCGGATCCTTGCGCGTTTTGAGGCTGGAAGCGCTCGTTCCGAGCGTTTTTCCTCTACCGGGTCACGTAGCTGCGCTTGCCTGGGCCTATCACCAAGCCAGCAAGGGCGTGGGAGGGTTGCGAGCATCATTGGTCATTAGCGCTCGTGATGAAGAGCGCCTGCTGCACTTCCTCCACATGTGCGGATCCTTGCGCGTTTTGAGGCTGGAAGCGCTCGTTTCGAGCGTTTTTCTTCTCCCGAGTCACGTGGCTGCGCTTGTCTGGGCCTATTACCAAGCCAGCAAGGGCGTGGGAGGGTTACGAGCATCATTGGTAATCGGCGCTCGCGAATGAAGAACGCCTGCTGCACGTCCTGCACATGTGCGGATCCTTGCGCGTTTTGAGGCTAGAATCGATCGTTTCGAGCGTTTTTCTTCCACCGGGTCACGTAACAGCGCTTTTCTGAGCCTATTACCAAGCCAGCAAAAGCGTAGGAGGGTTGCGAGAATCATTGGTCATCGGCGCTCGCGAATGAAGAGCGCCCGCTGCACTTCCTCCACATGTGCAGATCCTTGGGCGTTTTGAGGATGGAAGAGCTCGTTCTGAGCGTTTTTCTTCTACCCGGTCACGTGGCTGCGCTTGACTGGGCCTATTACCAAGCCAGCAAGGGCGTGGGAGGGTTGCGAGCATCATTGGTCATTGGCGATCGCGAATGAAGAGCGCCCGCTGCGCTTCCTGGACATGTGCAATTCCTTGCGCGTTTTGAGGCTAGAAGCGATCGTTCCGAGCGTTTTTCTTCCACCGGGTCACGCGGCTGCATTTGTTTGAGCCTATTGCCAAGCTAGCAAGGGCGTGGGAGGGTTGTGAGCATCATTGGTCATTGGCGCTCGCGAATGAAGAGCACCCGCTGCACTTCCTCCACATGTGCGGATCCTTGCGCGTTTTGAGGCTGGAAGCGCTCGTTCCGAGCGTTTTTCTTCTACCGGGTCATGTGGCTGCGCTTGTCTGGGCCTATTACCAAGCCAGCAAGGTCGTGGGAGGGTTGCGAGCATCATTGGTCATCGGCGCTCGCGAATAAAGAGCGCCCGCTGCACTTCCTGCACATGTGTGGATCCTTGTGCGTTTTGAGGCTGGAAGCGCTCGTTCCGAGCGTTTTTCTTCCACCGGGTCACGTGGATGCGCTTGTCTGAGCCTATTACCAAGCCAGCAAGGGCGTGGGAGGGTTGCAAACATCATTGGTCATTGCCGCTCGCGAATGGAGAGCGCCCGCTGCACTTCCTCCACATGTGCGGATCCTTGCGCGTTTTAAGGCTGTCCTGCTTTCCATCACCCGCCCCATTCTCCCGCTTTCCAGCACCCCTCCCCATTCTCCCGCTTTCCATTGGGGCGGGGTGCTGAAAAGCGGGAGAATGGGGCGGGGTGATGGAAAGCGGGAGAATGGGGGGGTGATGGAAAGAGGGAGAATGGGGCGGGGTGATGGAAAGCGGGAGAATGGGGCAGGGTGATGGAAACCGGGAGAATGGGGCGGGGTGATGGAAAGAGGGAGAATGGGGCGGGGTGATGGAAAGCGGGAGAATGGGGCAGAGTGATGGAAAGCGGGAGAATGGGGCGGGGTGATGGAAAGCGGGAGAATGGGGCGGGGTGATGGAAAGCAGGAGAATGGGGCGGGGTGATGGAAAGAGGGAGAATGGGTTGGGGTGATGGAAAGAGGGAGAATGGGGCGGGGTGATGGAAAGCGTGAGAATGGGGCAGGGTGGTGGAAAGCGGGAGAATGGGGCGGGGTGATGGAAAGCAGGAGAATGGGGCGGGGTGATGGAAAGCGGGAGAATGGGGCGGGGTGCTGGAAAGCGGGAGAATCGGGCGGGGTGATGGAAAGAGGGAGAATGGGGCGGGGTGATGGAAAGAGGGAGAATGGGGCGGCGTGATGGAAAGCGGGAGAATGGGGCGGGGTGATGGAAAGCAGGAGAACGGGGCGTGTGATGGAAAGCGGGAGAATGGGGCGGGGTGATGGAAAGAGGGAGAATGGGGCGGGGTGATGGAAAGCGGGAGAATGGGGCGGGGTGATGGAAAGAGGGAGAATGGGGCGGGGTGATGGAAAGAGGGAGAATGGGGCGGGGTGATGGAAAGCGTGAGAATGGGGCAGGGTGGTGGAAAGCGGGAGAATGGGGCGGGGTGATGGAAAGCGGGAGAATGGGGCGGGGTGATGGAAAGCGGGAGAATGGGGCGGGGTGCTGGAAAGCGGGAGAATCGGGCGGGGTGATGGAAAGCGGGAGAATAAGGCGGGGTGCTGGAAAGCGGGAGAATGGGGCGGGGTGATGGAAAGCGGAAGAATGGGGCGGGGTGCTGGAAAGTGGGAGAATGGGGCGGGGTGATGGAAAGCGGGAGAATGGGGCGGGGTTATGGAAAGAGGGAGAATGGGGCGGGGTGATGGAAAGAGGGAGAATGGGGCGGGGTGATGGAAAGAGGGAGAATGGGACGGGGTGATGGAAAGCGGGAGAATGGGGCGGGGTGATGGAAAGAGGGAGAATGGGGCGGGGTGATGGAAAGAGGGAGAATGGGGCGGGGTGATGGAAAGAGGGAGAATGGGGCGGCGTGATGGAAAGCGGGAGAATGGGGCGGGGTGATGGAAAGCAGGAGAACGGGGCGTGTGATGGAAAGCGGGAGAATGGGGCGGGGTGATGGAAAGAGGGAGAATGGGGCGGGGTGATGGAAAGCGGGAGAATGGGGCGGGGTGATGGAAAGCGGGAGAACGGGGCGGGGTGATGGATAGCGGAAGAATTGGGCGGGGTGATGGAAAGCGGGAGAACGGTGCGGGGTGCTGGAAAGCGGGAGAATGAGGCGGGGTGATGGAAAGAGGGAGAATGGGGCGGGGTGATGGAAAGCGGGACAATGGTGCGGGGTGATGGAAAGAGGGAGAATGGGGCGGGGTGATGGAAAGAGGGAGAATCGGGCGGGGTGATGGAAAGCGGGAGAATGGGGCGGTGTGATGAAAAGCGGGAGAATGGGGCGGGTGATGGAAAGCGGGAGAATGGGGCGGGGTGATGGAAAGAGGGAGAATGGGGCGGGGTGATGGAAAGCGGAAGAACGGGGCGGGGTGATGGATAGCGGGAGAATCGGGCGGGGTGATGGAAAGCGGGAGAACGATGCGAAGTGCTGGAAAGCGGGAGAATGGGGAGGGGTGATGGAAAGCGGGAGAATCGGGCGGGGCGATGGAAAGCGGGACAATGGGGCGGGGTGCTGGAAAGAGGGAGAATGGGGCGGGGCGATGGAAAGCGGGAGAATGGGGCGGGGTGCTGGAAAGCGGGAGAATGGGGCGGGGTGATGGAAAGCGGGAGAATGGGGTGGGGTGCTGGAAAGCGGGAAAATGGGGTGGGGTGATGGAAAGCAGGAGAATGGGGCGGGTGATGGAAAGCGGGAGAATGGGGCGGGTGATGGAAAGAGGGAGAATGGGGCGGGGTGATGGAAAGCGGGAGAATGGGGCGGGGTGATGGAAAGAGGGAGAATGGGGCGGGGTGATGGAAAGAGGGAGAATGGGGCGGGGTGATGGAAAGAGGGAGAATGGGGCGGGGTGATGGAAAGCGGGAGAATGGGGCGGGGTGATGGAAAGCGGGAGAACAGGGCGGGTGATGGAAAGCGGGAGAACGGGGCGGGGTGATGGAAAGAGGGAGAATGGGGCGGGGTGATGGAAAGCGGGAGAATGGGGCGAGGTGATGGAAAGCGGGAGAATGGGGCGGGGTGATGGAAAGCGGGAGAATGGGGTGGGTGATGGAAAGCGGGAGAATGGGGCGGGGTGATGGAAAGCGGGAGAATGGGGCGGGGTGATGGAAAGAGGGAGAATGGGGCGGGGTGATGGAAAGAGGGAGAATGGGGCGGGGTGATGGAAAGCGGGAGAATGGGGCGGGGTGATGGAAAGCGGGAGAACAGGGCGGGTGATGGAAAGCGGGAGAACGGGGCGGGGTGATGGAAAGAGAGAGAATGGGGCGGGGTGATGGAAAGCGGGAGAATGGGGCGGGGTGATGGAAAGCGGGAGAATGGGGCGGGGTGATGGAAAGCGGGAGAATGGGGTGGGTGATGGAAAGCGGGAGAATGGGGCGGGGTGATGGAAAGCGGGAGAATGGGGCGGGGTGATGGAAAGGGGGAGAATGGGGCGGGGTGATGGAAAGAGGGAGAATGAGGCGGGGTGATGGAAAGCGGGAGAATGGGGCGGGGTGATGGAAAGCGGGAGAATGGGGCGGGGTGATGGAAAGCGGGAGAATCAGGCGGGGTGATGGAAAGCGGGAGAATGGGGCGGGGTGATGGAAAGCGGGAGAATGGGGCGGACCACCCCACTCCCAAGCGGACCACCCCACTCCCAAGCGCACCACCCCACTCCCAAGCGCACCATCCCACTCTTAAGCGGACCACCCCACTCTTAAGCGGACCACCCCACTCCCAAGCGCACCACCCCACTCTTTAAGTGCACCGCCACACTCTAAGCGCACCGCCACAGTCTCTAAGTGCACCGTCACACACTCTAAGCGCGCCGCCACATTCTCTAAGCGCACCGCAACACTCCCTAAGCGCACTGCCACACTCTCTAAGAGCACCACCACACTCTCTAAGCGCACCGCCACACTCTCTAAGTGCACTGCCACACTCTAAGCGCACCGCCACAATCTCTAAGCGCACCGTCACACTCTCTAAGAGCGCCGCCACACTCTCTAAGTGCGTCGCCACACTCTCTAAGTGCGCCGCCACACTCTCTAAGCGCACCGCCACAAGCGCACAGCCACACTCTCTAAGCGCACTGCCACACACTTCAAGCGCACCGCCACAATCTTGAAGCGCACCGAAATACTACCTAAGCGCACCGCCACATTCTCTAAGTGCACAGCCACACTCTCTAAGCGCACCGCCACACTTTCTAAGCGCACCGCCACACTCTCTAAGCGCACTGCCACTCTCTCTAAGCGCACCGCCACACTCTTGAAGTGCACGCCACACTCTCTAAGCGCACCGAAACACTCCCTACGCGCACCGCCACACTCTCTAAGAGCACCACCACACTCTGGAAGCGCACCGCCACACTCTCTAAGCGCACCGCCACACTCTCTAAGCGCACCGTCACACTCTCTAAGCGCACCCCACACTCTCTAAGCACATCTCCACACTCTCTAAGCACACCGCCACACTCTCTAAGTGCACCGCCACACTCTAAGCGCACCGCCACACTCTCTAAGCGTACCGTCACACTCTCTAAGCTCACTGCCACTCTCTAAGCGAACCGCCACACTCTCTAAGCGCACCGTCACACTCTCTAAGCGCACCGCCACACTCTATAAGTGCACCGCCACACTCTATAAGTGCACCGCCACACTCTCTAAGCGCACCGTCACACTCTCTAAGCGCACCGCCACACTCTATAAATGTACCGCCACACTCTCTAAGCGCACCGCCACACTCTCTAAGCGTACCGCCACACTCTCTAAGCGCACCGCCACACTCTCTAAGCGCACTGCCACTCTCTCTAAGCGCACCGCCACACTCTTGAAGCGCACGCCACACTCTCTAAGCGCACCAAAACACTACCTACGCGCACCGCCACACTCTCTAAGAGCACCGCCACACTCTCGAAGCGCACCGCCACACTCTTTAAGCCCACCGCCACACTCTCTAAGCGCACCTCCACACTCTCTAAGAGCACCGCCACACTCTCTAAGTGCACCGCCTCACTCTAAGCGCACCGCCACACTCTCTAAGCGCACCGTCACACTCTCTAAGCTCACTGCCACTCTCTAAGCGAACCGCCACACTCTCTAAGCGTACCGTCACACTCTATAATTGCACTGCCACACTCTATAAGTGCACCGCCACACTCTCTAAGCGCACTGTCACACTCTCTAAGCGCACCGCCATACTCTATAAGTGTACCGCCACACTCTCTAAGCGCACCGCCACACTTTCTAAGCGCACCGCCACACTCTCTAAGCGCACCACCACACTCTCTAAGCGCACCAACACACTCTCTAAGCGCACCGCCACACTCTCTAAGCGCACCGCCACACTCTCTAAGCGCACCGCAAAACTCTCTAAGCGCTTCGCCACACTCTATAAGTGTACCGCCACACTCTCTAAGCGCACCGCCACACTTTCTAAGCGCACCGCCACACTCTCTAAGCGCACCACCACACTCTCTAAGCGCACCAACACACTCTCTAAGCGCACCGCCACACTCTCTAAGCGCACCGCCACACTCTCTAAGCGCACCGCCACACTCTCTAAGTGCACCGCCACACTCTAAGCGCACCGCCACAGTCTCTAAGCGCACCATCACACTCTCTAAGCGCGCCGCCACACTCTATAAGTGCATCGCCACACTCTCCAAGCGCACCGCCACACTCTCTAAGCGCACCGCCACACTCTATAAGCACACCGCCACACTCTCTGAGCGCACTGCCACACTCTCAAGCGCACCGCCCTACTCTCGAAGCGCACCGCCACACTCTCGAAGCGCACCACCTCTCTCCAAGCCACTGTCACACTCTCAAGCACACCGCCACACTCTCAAGCGCACCGCCACACTCTATAAGTGCACCGCCACACTCTATAAGTGCACCGCCACACTTTCTAAGCGCACCGTCACTCTCTAAGCGCACCGCCACACTCTATAAATGTACCGCCACACTCTCTAAGCGCACCGCCACATTCTCTAAGCGCACCGCCACACTCTCTAAGCACACCGCCACTCTCTAAGCGCACCGCCACACTCTTGAAGCGCACGCCACACTCTCTAAGCGCACCGAAACACTCCCTACGGGCACCGCCACACTCTCTAAGAGCACCGCCACACTCTCGAAGCGCACCGCCACACTCTAGCGCACCGCCACACTCTCTAAGCGCACCGCCACACTCTCTAAGAGCACCGCCACACTCTCTAAGTGCACCGCCACACTCTAAGCGCACCGCCACACTCTCTAAGCGCACCGTCACACTCTCTAAGCTCACTGCCACTCTCTAAGCGAACCGCCACACTCTCTAATCGCACCACCACACTCTCTAAGCGCACCGCCACACTCTCTAAGCGCACCGCCACACTCTCTAAGCGCACCGCCACACTCTCTAAGTGCACCGCCACACTCTAAGCGCACCGCCACAGTCTCTAAGCACACCTTCACACTCTCTAAGCGCGCCGCCATACTCTATAAGTGCATCGCCACACTCTCCAAGCGCACCGCCACACTCTCTAAGCGCACCGCCACACTCTATAAGCACACCGCCACACTCTCTAAGCGCACCGCCACACTCTCAAGCGCACCGCCCCACTCTCGAAGCGCACCGCCACACTCTCGAAGCGCACCGCCACACTCTCTAAGCGCACCGCCACACTCTCTAAGCGCACCGCCACACTCTCTAAGCGCACCGCCACACTCTCTAAGCGCACTGCCACTCTCTCTAAGCGCACCGCCACACTCTTGAAGCGCACACCACACTCTCTAAGCGCACCGAAACACTCCCTACGCGCACCGCCACACTCTCTAAGAGCACCACCACACTCTCGAAGCGCACCGCCACACTCTCTAAGCGCACCGCCACACTCTCTAAGCGCACCGCCATACTCTCTAAGCGCACCCCACACTCTCTAAGCACATCGCCACACTCTCTAAGCACACCGCCACACTCTCTAAGCGCACCGCCACACTCTCTAAGTGCACCGCCACACTCTCTAAGCTCACTGCCACTTTCTAAGCGAACCGCCACACTCTCTAAGCGCACCGTCACACTCTCTAAGCGCACCGCCACACTCTATAAGTGCACCGCCACACTCTATAAGTGCACCGCCACACTCTCTAAGCGCACCGTCACACTCTCTAAGCGCACCGCCACACTCTATCAGTGTACCGCCACACTCTCTAAGTGCACCGCCACACTCTCTAAGGGCACCGCCACACTCTCTAAGCGCACCACCACTCTCTAAGCGCACCGCCACACTCTCTAAGCGCACCGCTACACTCTCTAAGCGCACCGCCACACTCTCTAAGCGCACCGCCACACTCTCTAAGCGCACCGCCACACTCTCTAGGTGCACCGCCACACTCTAAGCGCACCGCCACAGTCTCTAAGAGCACCGTCACACTCTCTAAGCGCGCCGCCACACTCTATAAGCACACCGCCACACTCTCTAAGCGCACCGCAATACTCTCCGAGCGCATCGCGACACTCTCTAAGCGCACCGTCACACTTTAAGCGCACTGCCACACTCTCTAAGTGCACCACCACACTCTCGAAGCGCACCACCACACTCTCTAAGCGCAACTTAACACTCCCTAAGCGCACTGCCACACTCTCTAAGAGCATCGCCACACTCTCTAAGCGCACCGCCACACTCTCTAAGTGCACCGCCACACTTTAAGCGCACCGCCACAGTCTCTAAGCGCACCGTCACACTCTCTAAGCGCGCCGCCACACTCTATAAGTGCATCACCACACTCTCCAAGCGCACCGCCACACTCTCTAAGCGCACCGCCACACTCTATAAGCACAACACCACACTCTCTAAGCGCACTCCCACACTCTCAAGCGCACCGCCCCACTCTCAAACCGCACCGCCTTACCCTCTAACAGCACCGCCGCACTGTCAAGCGCACCGGCCCACTCACAAGCGCACCGCCCCACTCTCTAAGCACTCCGCCACACTCTTTAAGCGCACTGCCACACTCTCAAGCGCACCGCCACACTCTCAAGCACACCACCCCACTCTCTAAGTGCACCGCCACACTCTCAAGCGCACCGCTCTCTAAGCGCAATGCACCTCTCTCTCCAAGCCCACCGCCACACTCGCTAAGCCCACTGCCACACTCCCAAGCCCACCGCCACACTCTCGAAGCGCACCGCCTCTCTCCAAGCCAACTGTCACACTCTCAAGCGCACCGCCACACTCTCAAGCACACCGCCACACCTTCTAAGCGCACCACCACTCTCTCAAGTGCATCGCCACACTGTCAAGCGCACTGCCACACTATCTAAGCGCACCAATCCACTCTCTAAGCGCACCGCCACACTCTACAAGCGCACCCCCACACTCATTAGGCGCACCGCCACACTCATTTAACGAACCGCCCCACTCTCATGCGCACTGCCCCACTCTCGAAGCGCACCGCCACACTCTCGAAGCGCACCACCTCTCTCCAAGACCACTGTCACACTCTCAAGCACACCGCCACACTCTCAAGCGCACAGCCACACTCAAGTGCACCGCCACACTCTTCAAGCGCACCTCCACACTCTTAGCACACCGCCACACTCTCGGAGGGAACCGCCACACTCTCAAGAACATCGCCACACTCTCTAAGTGCACCGCCACACTCTCTAAGCGCACCGCCACACTCTAAGCGCACAGCCACACTCTCTAAGCGCACTGCCACACACTTGAAGCGCACCGCCACACCCTCTAAGCGCACCGCCACATTCCCTAAGCGCACCGCCACACTCTATAAGTGCACCGCCACACTCTCTATGCACACCGCCACACTCTCTAAGCGCACTGGCACACTCATTAAACGCACCGCAACACTCTTTAAGCGCACCGCAACACTCCTTAAGCGCACTGCCCCTCTCTCTAAGCGCACCGCCCTAGTCTCTCTGCGCACCACCGCACTCTTAAGCGGACCACCCCACTCCCAAGCGCACCGCCCCACTCTTTAAGCGCACTGCCACACTCTCACGCGCATCGCCCCACTCTCTAAGCGCACCACCACACTCTCCAAGCGCACCGCCAAACTCTCTAAGCGCACCGCCACACGATCAAAATCACTGACCCACTCTTAAAGCGCCCCGCACACTCTCAAGCGTACCGCCACACTCTCCGAGCGCACCGCCACACTCTCTAAGCGCACCGCCACACTCTCTAAGCACACTGCCACACACTTGAAGCGCACCGCCACAATCTCTAAGCGCACCGAAACACTCCCTAAGCGCACCGCCACACTCTCTAAGCGCACCGCCACACTCTCGAAGCGCACCGCCACACTCTCTAAGCGCACCGCCACACTCTCTAAGCGCACTGCCACACTCTCTAAGCGCACCCCACACTCTCCAAGCGCACCGCCACACTCTCTAAGCGCACCGCCACACTCTCTAAGTGCACCGCCACACTCTAAGCGCACCGCCACACTCTCTAAGCGCACCGTCACACTCTCTAAGCGCACTGCCACTCTCTAAGCGAACCGCCACACTCTCTAAGCGCACCGTCACACTCTCTAAGAACACCGCCACACTCTCTAAGTGCACCGCCACACTCTATAAGTGCACCGCCACACTCTATAAGTGCACCGCCACATTCTCTAAGCGCACCGTCACACTCTCTAAGCACACCGCCACACTCTATAAGTGTACCGCCACACTCTCTAAGCGCACCGCCACACTCTCTAAGCGCACCGCCACACTCTATAAGTGCACCGCCACATTCTCTAAGCGCACCGTCACACTCTCTAAGCACACCGCCACACTCTATAAGTGTACCGCCACACTCTCTAAGCGCACCGCCACACTCTCTAAGCGCACCGCCACACTCTCTAAGCGCACCGCCACACTCTCTAAGCGCACCGCCACACTCTCTAAGCGCACCGCCACACTCTCTAAGCGCACCGCCACACTCTATAAGTGCACCGCCACACTCTATAAGTGCACCGCCACACCCTCTAAGCGCACCGCCACACTCCCTAAGCGCACCGCCACACTCTCTATGCACACCGCCACACTCTCTAAGCGCACTGGCACACTCTTTAAACGCACCGCAACACTCTTTAAGCGCACTGCAACACTCCTTAAGCGCACTGCCCCTCTCTCTAAGCGCACCGCCCTAGTCTCTCTGCGCACCACCGCACTCTTAAGCGGACCACCCCACTCCCAAGCGCACC